CTAGAGATAGATGAAGGTTCTGTCGTTGACACGCTTGTCCACGACCACGTTGAGATGGGATAGTTGCTTGTTGTTGCTGAGAGACGATCAGCAAGGGTCTCTCAGGGGGTACACAGAGTAGACAATTCTAAGGGGTAGGGGTCAGAAGGGCATACCTCCTGACCGATCCGCATCCTATCAACAATAAGTGTTGTACCCTATTCATGCTAGCAGCCACACTCCTTAACACGTTCTTGCCCCATTGATGGGCAGTCACTGGCATGAAGAACCAGGGAGGGTGTTCGTGGGTCTGCGAACATTGGTGTTGGATACATGTACTGGATGATTTGGTGTCGCGCAGACTGGTAAGATTGCCGTTTGGTCGGGGGCACCGCGACGATTCACGGGGCCCCTCATTGCTGTGGGAGCCGCTCTTTGAGCACTCCCTCTTTCGTCCGTGTGAAGGACGGTCGTCGACCAATCGTGAAGTTAATAGACTACATCACAAAAACAGTCTCACCCGATAAAAAAGTGGCGTAGGCCGCAAAACAACGCACGCCTCGCGGCGGGTGCACCGCAGCAAGAAGGTATCGGTCCCATGAGGGTGAGTCTAGCCCTGCTCGCTAGAACGACCCCCCCCCTCGCTATGGGTCATGCTTACGCAAAACTTTCACAGGTGGCCAGTGGGCACGGTTACGGGGGGGTTAAAGTGACCTGTAACCCCTTGGCGTTGTACAACCTGCGTAACCCGGTCGGGCGCACCGTTGCCACCCTCCAAGGTCAGGCCGGGTTCGGAAACGCCGGCCAAAACCCAGTTAAGGGACATTTGTATCTGTGCTTGGTTGCAGGCGAGGTTGTCCAAGCCCGAGAATGTCCACGCCTTGCCGCGAAAACTATGTACCTGCCGGTGTCTACAGAGTACACGACACACAGATTTATTGGACATTCGCGGCAATAAAAAAAAAGCTTCGAGAGAGCCGGCGTTTGTAAGCCCGATTTGAAAGTTGACTACCGTTAGACGCGCAAAAAAAAAACAGTACTGTACACCTCCCCCAGTTTACTGATAAATGGAGATTGTCTGCCAAAGAAGAGTACCGTCATGGTATGCAACGAGAACAAGGAGGAACCAGTTGACCATAGATAAAAGTGGGGGNCGACCCCCCCCCTCGCTATGGGTCATGCTTACGCAAAACTTTCACAGGTGGCCAGTGGGCACGGTTACGGGGGGGTTAAAGTGACCTGTAACCCCTTGGCGTTGTACAACCTGCGTAACCCGGTCGGGCGCACCGTTGCCACCCTCCAAGGTCAGGCCGGGTTCGGAAACGCCGGCCAAAACCCAGTTAAGGGACATTTGTATCTGTGCTTGGTTGCAGGCGAGGTTGTCCAAGCCCGAGAATGTCCACGCCTTGCCGCGAAAACTATGTACCTGCCGGTGTCTACAGAGTACACGACACACAGATTTATTGGACATTCGCGGCAATAAAAAAAAAGCTTCGAGAGAGCCGGCGTTTGTAAGCCCGATTTGAAAGTTGACTACCGTTAGACGCGCAAAAAAAAAACAGTACTGTACACCTCCCCCAGTTTACTGATAAATGGAGATTGTCTGCCAAAGAAGAGTACCGTCATGGTATGCAACGAGAACAAGGAGGAACCAGTTGACCATAGATAAAAGTGGGGGATCGAGGAAATTGCAGTAGTGGACCAGTACACATACCTCGGAGTAGAGATCACGTCCAAGGTAGCGGAAAAGGGCAAAGCAAGAGCAGGGAAGCTCCACCCAATACTCGCAAACCGGCTCCTCGATACACGCATCAAATTGAAGGTTTTGAAGAGCGCAATCGTACCGCCGCTAGAGTACGCCGGAGAAGTATGGGAAGAAAATAAGCAGGTAAAGTGGTAATTTTCAAGGACCCGATTTTGGTTGTCCCTCCATCACTTTTGACTGAGAGCGAGTAGAAGAAAAAGAAAAACAGCTTCGGAACGCCCGCGGCAAGGCGCAAAAGAGTAGCGAGTCGCCAAAAAAAAAGGAAAAAAAAAGAGAAAAAAGAAAAAGAAAAAAAGATGCTCGCGGCGGGTCTCGAACCCACGAAATTGGCCCTAGAGCAACTTTTCCCCCATATATGTTGCTAATCCTTGTTTTTTTTCGCGCCAAACCACCCACACGTGCACAGGAACGCCCTCAAACACTATGCAAATGCACTATCCTTCTCTGGTCTAAAACTCAGCGGCACGTTCTTGCGCAAGCATTCCAACGAATTATTGCAGTTCTTTCGAGTCCAGTCCTTCGCTCGGCCCCAAATAAGCTCGATGGGGTTACACTCGCAGTAGTACTTAGGAAGCATGAGACAGGCTCCCCCGTGGCGCTGCATCAACAGCACCAGACTAGAATCAACTTCCTTGAAGTCCTTCTGCTC